TGTAATGTGTTATCTCTGCATCTATCATGTGCTGTTTCAGTGACTTGACGAAGGAAGGAAGCAAGTGGGAGTATGTCTTTATGTGTTAAAAGCATTCTATATGATTTTTATTAACATATACTTAAAAAACACCTTCCTTCCCTTCCATTCTCCTTTCCTAGCCGTCTTGCTGGGACTAGCGGACTATCCATCGGGTGGTTCCTGTTCAGCTTCTCTGGGAAGTTAAGGCTGTATTTATTACAACTTAGTGCAGTACAACTGTACTGGTCTTTGTGTTCAGAACTGAAATTCTTTATGCACTGAAACCAGAACAAACCTGTGGCTCTGATAGCTGCATTTTGTGAACTGCTCCCATAATTTCCATATTTCAGGCACTTACAGGTGACTTTTCTTTGTAGGTTGCTTAATGTATATATAATATATTTATGCAATTAAGGCTTTTTTTAGATTTACAGCCATGATCTCTCACATAGAGAATGGGTGAATGTTGTATCCTTAATTTCTGCTAAGAGAAATTAAGCTGTTCAGGTGCTGCTTCGTCTTCCGCAGCTTACCAACACGGGTGCTCTTCCGTGAGGCCACAGAGAGGACGTGATCATCTTGTGTGGGATTCCGTGGCGTCTTTAAGGCGTCTGCTTTGCCGAGGTTGCTGCCGGCGGCTCTCCGTGGTGCACATCCCACATCCCATCGTTGGCTCAGAGCTGCCTCTTGAACTCAGTTAGTTCTCTGTGTTTCTATCCGAAGCCAAAAGAACAAGCGTGGTGACAACTGTGACAAAAACAAAAGTTTAATTATTGCCTAAGTTTAATTAAAAAGAAAAAAATCTATTTAAACCATGACTTTGTGGATACTTAAATGATGAATGTAGTTGCTGTCTTGTTGAAGAATCAAGCCAAGCTGCTGGAAGGAACCAGGCTGTGGTGAGCCCTGCCTGCTGCTCCTGACCATGTCCTTCCTTGCAGCTCCTCAGTCCCTTTTACATTTTCCTGAGCATTTCTTATAAAGCAAGGTACACCCAGTGTTCTTTAGGAACAGTGCTCTGCGGCAGCTCCAGTCAAACTGTTGCAATGTGGGGAAAAGCAAATCTAATTGCTAAAATTAAACACAACAGTGGTGGCAAAGAAGGCATAACTTAGGAATACTGGTCAATGAGAGAAGCCTGGTGTGATAGAGGAATGCAGCAAGTTTGAAGAATTATCTAATTCTGGCAGTAATTTCTCCTGTGTGTGGGTATAATCTTTGTGTTCGATGGCTTTTGTTCACAGCGGCGGCGCAGAGGCTGCTCAGATAAGAGCCCTGGAGCAGATGCTCTTGGCAGGCCCGGAGATAAAGGGGATTGCAGGAGCCGCGGCACGAGGAAAGCTTCTTTGCAAGGAAGAGGAGGTGGTTGTGCAGAAGAAACACAGGTTTTGTCCTTGCAAGGACAAAGGAAAAAAAAAGTAGGTTGCAATGAGTAGAGACTTGATGGGAAGGGATAGGAGGAGTTGGCATTTCCCAAGTTCAGGAAGTGCAGGACTCAAAGAGGTATGAGCTTGTGCTTGCTTTGAAAGGCTTTTAATGAAATAAAGACTTGGCTTGGAGAACAGTTGGTGATTAGTAACTTCTGCCATTGCTTTTGGGCAGAGAGTGGCTCTCTAGGGCCTCATCTCCAGCCCCGGGGGAGGTGGGTTGCAGTGTGGGGCACTGGTACCAAGGAAGAACCGTGTGAGTTTTGCCGGGAGGAGACAGGTGGTGCTTGGAAGCCTGATGGAACGGGAACCGCTGGAAGACTGGGTTTGAGCTTGGCGTGGTGAGTGCCTTTAGCTGGAGAGAGAACCAAAATTGCTTTTTGCTAGTTGAGGGGACACACTTAAAAATGGCTTGAAAAAGAGAGATTTCAGCATAAATTGGAAGTTGAGAAGTCTCCTGCTTTGTGTTTTTTTTTTTATCAGTGCAGGGTCATATATGAAGAAAGCCCAATGCACATAGAATCCATGTTCCATATGTGCAGCTGGAATTGTGAAGTGGTATCCAGGCTTGCAGCTGTTAACGGCTAAACAAGAGAAAAGTAGATTACAAGTTCTCAAACTCTCTCCTAGCTCCTAAGAGGCTTTGAGAAACAGAAGCTCCAAAGGCGCCTGCTTTGCGCGCTGCAATGTCACTGCGCGACTTGCTCCTGCTCTCATAAAAATAATTTAGGAGGAGTCTTTAAGCAGACCTAAGAGGAAGTTGATTCCCAGGCCCAGAAACTTTCTGTGTTGGGTTCTCTTTGTGCTCTCAGCTTTTATTTGAAGTAAATTCTGCTTAAATAAAAGGTTGAAGGGCCAAATACTTGTTTTGGGGAAAACCTATGGAATAAAAGGAGCTAAGCTGAGCCCCAGGCCAGCCAGGGTGGAGCTTTTGTGGCTGTGTTTGCCCAAGGCCTGATGTCCTCAAGCCCTTATCTGGCAGGGGAAGGGTCTCGCGTTGGGGCCAGCTTGGAGCTGCTGCTCTGCCGATAAAGGCTGTGCTGCCTCGTGCCCAGGGGCCGGCAAACCTCTGTCGGAAACATCCCCCACTCGTGCTTGGATCTGCCACTCTTGTCTCCTCGGAGTGAAAAGAGCAGCTAATGCCCGCGGCCATGGTGTAGCTTAGGGGAAAGGTGAAAAAAAACGCTTAAAAAGGTCTTTAAAAGCTTTAAAAAGGCCATCAAGTTGACTTATCTGACCAGGAAGAAGAGAGCGAGTTGGTCCTGGCCCTGGATGCAGCACAGCTGCAATTCCCTGCACGGCAGCGGGGGACGCCCGCTGTGCAGGTCCCTGGCAGGGTTCACGGTGACGGTGAGGTTGGGGCCAGCGGCGTGCGGTGCCCGCGCGGGCCTCTCCCTGCAGAGGAAAAGTCTCTCCCTCTGGTTAATTTGTCATATGGGCTGTAGATCTTAAAACCAGCAGAGTTTTCATGAGGAACTTAAGCATTAGTGGGATGAGTCGGGGATCTTCACTAAAGGGAGTCAGAGTGTTAAAATACATGAGGAACTGTAGGAAATGCGGGTCATTTTGTGTTTATAACTGTGCCCTGAGACACGGCTGCTGCCTCTGTCTCATCTGGGTGCAGGATGTAACACACAGTTAATGTTTCCGTAGCGGGAAGAAGGATGCGTGCGTGTGTGCATGGACACAGGCAGCGGGAGGACATTTCCCTCCTCTCCCCAATCTGCAGAGTGCGACCCAGGGAATTAGATGGGCCTTCGCCTTTCCTCGCAGCATTGGTGACGCCCGGTTTGGGGACAGGGTTGTAGGTGTCGGGCTCTGAAGACCCCTGTGGTCGCCCTCCTCTTTGGCAAGACCTCGGCAGTGCAAGTCCTGCTGTAGACCCTGTCTGGTCGCGCGGTTCAGGCTCTCGCCTCTCCTGCACGAGCAGCAGCATTTCAAACTTTATCTCCTCGCCCCAACTCCTTCGTTTTAAAATATTAACCCTCAGACACCTCCCAATTCACTTTAACATCCAACTCGTCTGATTTCTTTTCATATTCAAGTGAAGCCATCTGGCTTTAATGAACTCCAACTGCTGCTTATGCTGCTTCCAGTTGTTAGCATCTGAATATTTCATGTGCCGATGGATTTGAAATGCAGAAGGCTGAAAGGTCCCAACCGTTTCCAGATCCGCTCTGCTCCATGGATCCCCTCTTTGGGATGCAGCTCTGGAAGCATCGCACGTGGCTGGGGCTGTGCATCTACTGTCAATTTTGTGTGTGTAAAACACGGGTGCTGCTTAGGAAATCCCAAATAACTCCTTGGAGTTAACCTGAGGAGAATTTGAATCAACTTCCAAGAGGAGCTACAAGTGTTTGGTGTCTTTTAAATAAATAACCTCTGTTTGTGTGTGTGTGTAGGTGCAAATATTGCCATGTTATGACAAGGAGAGATGAAGTTGGCTTTACGTGATCTAGCTTGGTTATAAAAAGTTATACCCTAAATTGAGAATACCCTAATTGCAGTTAACTTGTGAGGTACTTTGCCAGGGCAAAACTATTAAACACTAGTGGTGTATTCCCAGATTGGCTGGACTGCGTGTGTCACTCAGGGTTTTCCAGTGGTGCCTGTGCTTGGGCTTAGCAGAATGGCAGCTGCTAAATAGACCGTTACCAAGAAATACTTTGCTTTATGATTAAAGGCACTTGTCACTGTTTGTCGAGCGTCCTGCGGGTTCCCAGTGACACAGGTGACATAAATGCACCGTGGTGGTGGCCTAAACCCAAGCACAGCTTGTAGGTGTCTCTGGGAAGGAGGCAATCTGCAGAAAGGCAGGTGGCTTGAGCTCACCCCGCAGTGCCACCTGGGTGACATTGCCACCTCGCAAGCTGGATGCTGTGCCACCTGCAGCTCCTTTCTCCATTTGGTCTTGTATTTTTTTTTTTTTAACAAAATGGGCTATTTTTGCCTGACGAACCTTCAGCTCGCCCAGCAGTAAAGCACTTGGTGGAGGTGCACGTGTGTGTGTGGAATAAAACTGAAAAGCAAACGGCTTTGGGGTGCTTTTTTAAGACGTATGTGCAAATCCCTTGAAAGCCTGTGACAAGCAAATTGCTGAACTATTAAAACCCAGCAGCCTGAGCAGGTGTTTGGTCCGGGCACTGCCCCAGCACCAGTTTCTTGGCCTTCCACATTCCCACCAGTCCCACCAAGAACTTGATGCTTGTTTCAAGCCACGACTTGGTCACCTCCCCCTTCCTAACCTTGTAGAGGCTCAGAGCAACTTTGGAGAGGGATGAAAAACAGAGGGCAGGAGCTGAAAACAGGTTCTGTAACCGACTGCCTTAGGAATTTTTATGCCAGAGGCAGTTTTTGATCTACTGATGGGGACATGTATATAGAGAAGCTAAAAGTAAATAAATGCAACATGGTGTCCTTGTTTGCTTTAAAGCTTTTAGCTTATTGCTGGAGAATAGTGATGTATCCAAGAGCAGTTAATATTAAATAATACTGCCTGATACCAGATAATGATTTTCTTAAATATTTGTTATTTACAGGTTTGTTTTCCGCATCCCCTCTTGAATGTCGCTGGGAACAAAGGTGGGAGACAACTCATGACCCCCAAAGTGTGACAGGCTTGGGCTGTGCTGCTTCTGGCTGCTTAGAATAACCCCGGGCCACTGTGGAGATGAATGGAGAACAGCAGTATGATGCAGGTAAGGCCTAAAGCTTCTCCAAATATTTGGCAACCGCGATGGGACCGAGGTGCCCACGCGTTGGGGAGGTGCCCGTTTTGTATGGCAAGTCTCTCACACCCTGCACTCTGCCACGGGAAGCTCCAGTTTGTCTCGCTGTGCATTGGGTTCGAGCTGCCTGACTTAAAAGGAAAACTGGAGCCACCTTCATAAGTGTGTTTGCAAGAAACCCCTTCAGGATTTCAGTCTGAAGTGAGTTCATGAAAATCTCAGGGGCTTTTGAGCCATTACTCTGAGCTGTCTGTCAGGATGGTTGGTGTTATCTTGTTCTGACCTTATGTGTCTTCATTTGGTTCTTAATATGTGGCTGAAGTTGGAGTGTTGGATCCAAGCGTCAGGTACTGAAGCCGTTTGGTCGCGTGACGGTCAGTCCTGTCCTTCTCATGAACCTTGCTGTCCTCTTTGGGCTTGAGGCACCCTCTCCTGAACTGCCAAGTAGTGTATTTTGGTAAACCAGCTCAGGTTTTGGATCACCTTGAAGCACCGGATTGAAAAGAGAGTCTATGGCTGGGGACGCTGATGACTCTCTGAAAGAGTCATTACATTTTTTGCTCTTGTCGAGGATGAGGATCATCTATATTTCTCAGTACCATAATTTGCTCCTTTTCCTATACAAGATTCTGACCTATAATGTTCCTTCAGTTGTATTTATCAGTACAAACCATTGGATTAAGATTTGATCTGAATATTACTTTCTTTTGATAACTCTCCAACAAGCAGCACTTCCCTAGGACAGTTTTCTGTTGATAGCTTATGATTTTATGAAAGTCAAGTTGCTCTCAGGGCTGCTGAAGAAATGTTAGGTATAAATTCGGTGTACAGGGCCCTTAGCAGATACAAGCATCTGCTATGTGGTGCAGGGCCAGGCCTTCCAATAATTAACTGTAACCAAGAGCTCAGGTTCTTGTCCTCAAATAAGCCAAAAAAGCAACACACACAAGGATGCAGAACTACTCCAGGCATGTCCAAATGCAGTTTCTTCTGCTACTGGGAAGTGTTGTCTTCTGTCATCTTATGTAAGAAAAAGAGTTTGAGCAGCCGAAAAAAAAATCATTATACGTGGTCAGCAACGGGATGTTCGCAGCACATCCCTCTGTACTAAAACCCTTCTTGAGTTTTTTTTCCAGCTTCCTTTAAAATAGCAGCAGAAGTTTTGGGAAGAGCTGTGAAGAGTTTGCTGTTTTTTTGAGATTACTCAGCAGTTATTTTCCTGAGCATCCTTTCTGTGTCTGGTTTATGTAAGAAGCAAACAATTACATAAGAGAGCTCAGTTCCTCCTAGGCTTCAGAAAATGCCAACCAAGTAAACATAGGCACGCTGGTTTGGTTTTTCAGCCCTCTAACAGCATTTTCCTTTAGTACTTTAAGTTAGTTCCAACTAATTTACATCTCGATTAGATCTTAGACCACTGAAAAAAATCCCTTCATATTTTTTAACTGGTATAATGGTTTAGTTCATGAATTTTAGGAGTTTTTTGGTGATTTCCCTCTGCTCGTTTTTGTTTTCATCTTAACCCCTGAATACAGGAGCCCAGAGAGCGGCCAGGGCGGTCTGCTGCTATGCTCCTCCGCGCTGCCAGCGGGAACCACAACTTTCAGTCTTGTCACCATCTTCTCCAGCTCCCCGAATTGCATCATGTCTTTATTTACTCGTGGCCTCGCAGATGATATAGTTGAAAAAGAGTAGCTGTTGTTAAAAGCAGGTCGAAATATGTCCAAATTTCCCAGTGAGGAACCTCGAGGTTTGTCTTCATTGAAGGTCTTGCAGACTTCAGTGTGCTGTAGTTAGGTGACTCATATAACAGTCTTCAAACTAAATCCCATTAAAGTTGCATGAATGTTATTGACAAAGAGAATTGAACTTCAGACCAAGGATCAAAACAAAGTCCAGTGCAGACAGCTTCCATTGCAGGTATTTCTAAGTACAAATATGATCGTACCTCACTCTTTTCGTGTGTCAAAATGGTGCAGTTCACTATTCATTCTCTTCGTGTATGTGTCTGAGAGCAGCACGCTGTCTTTCACAGTGAGATTCAGAAAGGAAGAGCTAGTGTTGATAGTAACACTAGGATAAAGAGTGGCAGATGGGAAGTAACATACCTATCTTGGAAATTTGTAATATTCTTGCAGACGATTTTCTCACCTCTGGAGGGAACAAACACTGTCCACATAAGCTCTTTGGGGCACTTCTCACTTTTACTTGAGAAAAGTTGATGCTTTTGAAGCTTTCTTGAGCAGAGCTCATTGCGTGCTGAGGCCCCAGAGCTGTGAATCCCATCTAGTTTCTTCTTTGCCTTTGCTCAAGTTGTGTTTTGCCACTGAACTCACCTGTGTGTAAAAACTGAATAGCAATTGGATTCCCACTCCCAGATATTTCCAGCCAGCTCAGGCCTTAACAAAGAGATGGTCCTTAGCCAAACTCATGAAGTGTTGCTGCCTCAGCTGTAACAGACACCTGATTTCTGAGATTATTCATGATTTATATTTTCCTAGCACATGTTTATTCCACAATTAGAAAAATAATTTGCTCCACAATTAGGCAAATAATTTATTTCTCTCACTGTGAAACATTTTATAGCATTTTGGCTGGGTGCTTTATTTAATAAGCTTTTCATGTGCCGTATTTGTTCAGTAAGTGCTGCACTAAATAACCTGAGATACTGTGGCAAGGCAGTACGTGAGATGCAAAATAGAGATTTGCCATATTATATAGATGCCCAGGGCCCTCAGCTGTATGTGGAGTCTCCTAAGGAAGGAAACCACCTATAGATTTCCCCTCCGCATGGGAAGTTGGTGGCATTCATGGCTCCTAATGTAGTCTCATATAATTGCACAGCCCAATGCAAGCTGAGATAGTCTTATGAACAGAAGTTCTGGATGCTGCTTTAAAATGCCTCTAAAATACTCCAACTCATTGAACCTGCAGTGCGTGGAAGGCAGGAAATTGTGGGATTTCCATGGAAAAAGCACTTGGATGGTGCTGGTGAGATTCGGGCATTTTAGAGCACCGAGAAATCTGAGTCCCTCTTGCTACTGTGACGAACTGGAAGGAAACAGCTCTTTTAATATAAAAACCCATGGGCTGCAGAGGCCGTAGGTTAGCAGGGTGAAAAGAGACCCGCGTGGACGCCAGTCTAGCTGGGAACTGTTTGCGAGAGCGGGACGCCAGGGCCCGCTCACAGGAGTTCATTGGAGCAATTAATTAGGAGCAGAAGCTCCTAATTGAGCCTTTCAGCGCGTTGTGACCTGTGCCTCATTTAAGGAGCTTAGCTGCCCCTTGGGCATTTAGGTGACCCGCTGTTGAGGACCTGGTAGGGAGGTGGCAGGTCCTGGGAATGGCCTTCCCTTCGAATGGCAGCCAGGGCTTTTTCAATAGGAAGGTCATCAAAAAGATAAAATTACTTATTCTTGTCCTCCGGGTCTGTTTCTTCAGTAAATTAAAAATTATCCCCATAAAATTGATGCCCCTATGCAAGCTCGGAGTGTTGTGAGCACTGTGGCTCATGAAAGGCCACTGTAACTGGCCGTGGTTGTTTAAAAACTGCAAAATGAAGCTGGAAGATTGGGTTTAAACAAATACCATCACACACACACTAAATACACGCTGCTGAATTGGGACAAATCCTAATTCCTAGAGTTGCAATGAAAAGTTAATGGTGAGCTTAACATTGAGCTGGAGGAGAAGATGGACCTACTTCACACTGAGCGGCTTTTTTAATTTGTTTGCTCTTTTAGCTAATTTAAAGGCGTTCAGGGTTTTGGGCAAAGATTTATCCCCTCTGCGTTCAAGGAGGACTGGCTGTTGTAAAGGTGCTTACAGGTGTTTGTGCCCAGGGTGTCCTCTCCTAAGGACACGCAGCAGTGGGTCCTGAGCACACAGGGCTTCCCTGGGAGCAGGAGCGAGTGTTGAGCTGGGGCCCGCGGGTGCGAATCCGCGTGGGCTGCGGACGCATCCCGGGATGAGGTGGCCCTTGCCCTGCGGAAGGTGCTGCACGTTGTGAGCAGCTCTTCTAAGTGACTAAGGTGGACGTTGCTTCTCCCCTGTATCAGAGATGGAAACAGCTTGGGCTTAACCATAACTCAGGGTTGTAATATCTCTCAGGCTCAATCCAATCCAAACGACTCTAATTTTGAAGTATTTGGGTCACTGGTGATACAAAGGAAAGATAAGTAGTATTGTGTGTATTTGGAAGAGCATAATCGAAGTTCTTCAGAGGCTTGTGTAGACAGTCATTAAAATCAAGTGCTCTTTGCTGTGGTTCTTAAAAGCCTCCAACTTAAGCCAGCAGAGTGTAAAGTAGAAGGTTTTTTATCTTTTCTTTCAGATTTTTTTCTTTATCTTCTCTTCCAGATGCTGGTTCTGGTGTGGAAGAAATGGAATTCAATTGGGATGAGTATCTAGAAGACACAGGAGCAACTGCAGCCCCCCATGGATCTTTTAAACATGTGAGTGAGGGAGAGTATGCTTACTTGCTGTCTACTGCTTCCTCCTTTCAAATCCAGAAGACAAACTAGAATCATGTTAAAGAGAAAGGAGGAATTTTACCTCTTTATTATTGTTTATCTTCTTCCTCTGTGCAGCATGGTGTAATCCTGTCCTCAGGTGGGGGAAGTTAAGAGCTTTTGGTCTTCTCTATACACCAGCAAATAAGCTTTGGCTTCCTCCCACTCACCCCCTCGAAGCCTGAACTGGCCAGTCTCTCTTTCGGGCTTTGGTGCCAGACAAGTGCTTTGGAGGAGCTGGATTTAAGAGTTCACGTGGTGAGTTCTTGAATAGCAGAATTCAAATGTGCTTTGGTGTCTAGTGTTGTTTTCAGGGCAAGAGACAAAAAGTTCTCCATTAACCTAGCTCCAGTCCTTGAAAAATCACAAACTTTTCCGAGATAAAAAGTAACTCATAGAAATTGTATTAATATAGCATGAAAGACGCTCTAAAGTGCAGTAAATACAGACCTTGATGAGGTTGTTTGGTACATGAGATTGTAAGATTTTGTTCAAAATCTGGGGTTTTAGTTTCTCAAGGGGAGAGACCTATGTTTGCTTTGGTGTTTTTCTTAATGTACGAAGGCCCCAGCAAGAACAAGCTTGCAGAGAGTGGTAATACCCGTGGCAATACCAGCTTTATGGCAGTGGCAAGTGAATTATCAGCTACATTTTGGTGGTCATCGGGTCATGCTTTCCTTGACTTTGTTACCCTCTTGCTGCAGCCTTTGGCCAATAAGATTGCTGTGGCCATTAGAAACAGTTACTTAACAACAACAACAACGTTCCACGCTTTTAATGGTTATTGTTTCTTAGGTGTGCAGCAGTTTTACTGGTGTAACGCTGTCTCGGCGAGTGCTCTCCCCAGCCAGCGCGGCCCCAGCGCGGCCGTGTCCCCCTGTCCCTTCTGGGTACTTTGGATGCCCTCTTGCGGGCAGAGCCAGGGTGGCTCTCGGGGAATGGCCCCGGGGCTCTCGGTGCCAGGGCAGGAGAGACACGGATGCCAGAGGTGTTGCACAGTGGCACAAATCCATGGGCATGAAAATCGGTGCCCGTATGTTATCTGGAAGGGGAGCTGTCAGACCGCATGGCATTTGCCAGCAGACTTCCTGCAGCGGTTGCCAATTCTGATGTTTTCTATAATTTTCAGAAAATTTTGGGAAGCTAGTGCTGGCACGCAATTGGCAAGTGGTGAATATTTATAGCAGTATCCGTCTTGCTCTTACTAGAGATTCAGTAGTGCAACCTGCTCAGGATTTCTGCTTGTGTTAGAAGGGAACGGGTTGGAAAAGACAGCAGAGGAGAACGCGGGTGCCTCCCAGAGGCCAGTGACAACCTGTGTGTGTGAGCAAGCCCTGGGAAAAGGTTTGTGTGATTCCAGGGTACATCCGGTGAGGGATCTTCACACACACACACATGGATGTCTTCGCTCTAGCTACTAGCGGTTCCTCCAAGCGGAGTCTGTGCCGTTCTCATTGAAGTGCAATAACTTTTATACCCTGGCTAAGCTGCAGCAGAATCTTGGCATCATAAGTGGGCATGTGCTGCCTACAAATTAATTTTAGATGGAAACTTAAGAGGGAAACTTAATTTTGTCTTTTCATCTTACCTTCCTTAATATCCCTGTGGTTCCTCTTTTCTCCTCCATTTCTTCCTAGTTTGGAGTGTTATTTGAGTGATTAACAGCAGTGTCAGCTCTTGCTCTTGGCTGTTAACAGCCATTTCCACGTGGTCTTCTCCATGGCACTAGCAGAGCTCTTAGAGAAATGTCTCTCCAAGAACATGCCAAAAAGCGACTTTCTGCGCTGATTTGGATACCCTGGTTTGACTTGTGCCATGACTGCAAAAAAGAGGGGATAATTTGTGATGGGAAGGAGTGGGAAGGGAGATGGCTGCTGTCGCTATGTGCCGAGTGGCCGTCTCAGCTTACTGTACGTGCAAGGGAAATGCAGCATTCCCGGCTCCACAGACAGTGGAAAAGGGCTCGGAGGATATTTTCTCAGTGGTACTCGTCATCTCAGTGGTAACGTAGTGGTGCACATGAAACCATGCGGCTGTGTCACCTGCCCAGCTGCCCGAGGAGGGGGCCAACTCCTTGGTCTCCAGTGTATCCGCCAGGAAAACGTGCGGGGTGACGTTGGAGAAGTGCAGCTGGCCTCAGGAAGCTCCAGCCGGTGCCGCTGGCTTTGCCTGGATGCGGCTCTCTGTGGGATGCGGCCACAAGGCTCTGCACAGAACATGGCTGTGGAGAACTGCGGAGTTTCCAATCCCTCAGGCTTTGTGTGGAGCTCCTGACGTTTCTGGTTAACCAGTCGTTAACCCCCAAAATATCCACTGCACCTCCAACATATCGAAGCATTTTTAGCTGTTGATTCAAAGAGGAGATGGGACTTCAGGACCATTTAAGAAACAAAACACCAGTTAAATTCAGCTGTGAACAGGAGCTCATCACACTGGATTTTTGAACGAAGCCTGAGGTTATGGAATTAAGTGTAGCTGAGACTCATACTATGGTGGGAGCAGAACAGGTAGGGTCTTTTTGACCCTTATTTGGAGTCCTAGATAAAGAAGTTAAACATCCTTATTCTGCAATATCTAAATGAACATGGTGGAGGAGACAGTGATGGTACTGCTTAAATTATATATTTAGATATTATATAGTTTAGGAGGCTTCTTGTCCAAAAAGATTGAAGATTGTGTGAACAAATATTGTTGTTAACACCAAACCAAGGCTTTATTGCTGAATTTGACCTTTACTTTTGTTTAGCTGGACAGCTCAGCTGTGAGTTAGAAAACCTTAATGCGTGAAGTATTTCTCAGGGCATGAAGATGCATTTGTGAATTTAAGGTTAAGAAGATACTGTAAAATGAGGAGGAGATTTCATTGATGATGGCTGCGTGCTATTTAATTTGGGTCTTGTAACAAGACAACATTGCCTCTCTGAGGAGGTAGGATGGTGTTCTGCTTGAGGTTTTCACTTTTGGACATGTCTCAGTTGTCCTCTGTGTTGTTCCACAAGGTTTCTGTGATGAAACGTGGCACCCTTCTCTCTCTTCAGGTGGATACGAGTCTGCAGAATGGTTTTGCCCCTGGTATGAAGCTAGAAGTTGCTGTCAAGTCTGACCAAAACACCTACTGGGTGGCCACCATCATCACGACGTGCGGGCAGTTGCTCCTGCTGCGCTATGACGGCTACGGCGAGGACCGCAAGGCTGACTTCTGGTGCGATATCATGACAGCGGATCTGCACCCCATCGGCTGGTGCGAGCAGAACAAGAAGATTCTCAAAGTGCCTGAAGGTAGAGGGAGTAGAGCTCTCTTAACTGTGCTTTTGTCCCTTGTAACCCTGGCAAGTCATCTTCCAAATTGCTGCCGTGAGCGGGTGGCGGTTTCGTGAGGACAGGCTGAAGTTATCTGCTGTGTTTGCCTGAAATCCTGTGACTTAAGTTCTTCAGATTGTTCCTTCCCCAGGGAGCTGTTAGCTTAGTTTCAAAACTGTGATTACTTTCATCCTAAGAGTTGTGGTTTCCATAATCATCATCCTCTAAATCCTGCAGCTTTGTCATTGCCATGAAAGGGGTTTTGTTTTAATTAGTTCCTTCCTTTAAGGTGTTCCTGATGGCTATATTGCAGAAGCTTCTGAATTTAGCACAAGAACATAGTAATGTCTCATTGCACAAGTAATCTTTAAGAGGCAGAAAGAATGAGTGTCTGTCTTCTTGCTTTTCACTTAGGTATTAAGGAGAAGATAGCTGACCAGGAGCAGTTCCTTCAGCAGGTGCTGAAAGGAGCATGCAGCGCTCCCGCTAACCTGCTGGAGGGGGTACGTGTTCAAACGGGCTGCCTTCAAGTTGTAACGTGGCTTCTCTTTGCCAAAGAAGATGCTCTTGGTACCAGTTCAACTTCGGAATTAGATTGTCAGTTCAACTCCTTTCATAAATTTAGATGCCATTGTAGTAGGATGCTGAATTTACGAAAAAAAATATATCCATTGTCTAGCGTTTCCCATTCACAGTATTTAATTTTAATAGTTTTTATCCTAGAACATATTTGTAGCTACAGGTTTGGGCTGGCTGTTTATTCATTAGTTCTAGCAGAAGGAAGACTTTTTTCAAACCCCTTCTGGTGTCAGTCCACCTGCTGCTTCACATAGCTCAAGGGAAATAGTCCTTTATTTTTGCTCACCTTTGGTGTTGCTGAAAGGACACAACTGAGAAATGGGACAATCTTGTTGGTTTTGCTAATGCACAGATTATTTTACTTGCATCTTGCAATTTTGCTAGAAGAGATCTCAATTGTTGCCCCTTCTCCGCATGTAATACTTGATCACCTCATATCAAGTCTGATTGTAAAGTACAGAACATCTGTTTTTTGAAAACCCTATAGAAATCTTCCTTGCAACTAATGTTTTTATGATTGTATCCTTTCTGTCTCATCACTTTTACTTGCTAGAGGAGTCTATTTTTAAAACCTTTTACCTTTGTTTCCTTCAAACTTCAAATATGTAAGGGCTAATGCTTCTGAAAAGGATGAACAGGATTTAATGTGAAATGTATGGCTGTACCTACAGTCAGTACAAAAGCTCTGCTGCAAGCAGCAGAGATCCTAAACACTGTACATTCTGTTCCCCTTAGTAAGAGACCTGTATTTCTTCACTGCTGTGTTGATGCTTCAGTTATTCAGAAAGAACTGTGCAACGGACAGAGTAGAAGTGGAAGTACAGGATGTACTTCTGTTGTACATAAAACTTCGGCTTATGTTCTTTTTCTTCTCTTTTTGTAGCTTCATAGAGGGAAGAATCCTTTGGATCTCATTGCACCGGGCTCCAGACTAGAACTGCAAAACTTCCAGGACTCCTTGGAAGCTTGGATTGTCAACGTGGTCGAAAACGTGGGAGGGAGGCTGCAGTTGCGATACGAAGGTTTGGAAGATTCTGACAAGTTTGACCAATGGATTTTCTACTTGGACCCTTTTCTTCATCAAGTGGGCTGGGCAGCTCAACAGGGATATGACCTGAAACCGCCTTTAGGTACCTCAAAACATACATTTTTGTTATGTGATTATTTTCATGGGCTTAAGAATGCTGCTGTGGCTTTGGTGCTCTAAATCTGTGTTCCAGATGCATACACTTGCATGTAATCAGTGTGTGATCTGACAGGTCTTGCACCGAAGTGAAATATAAATGAAAACAACAGTAAGTCGTACTGCAAGACTCATGTGTTCACATGTTGCTAGCTGCTTTTCCCTGTCAAAACCTTCCACCTGTTTGTGCAAAGTGGTAGTGTATACAGAGGAAAGAATTGCTTTTATGCTGATTTTTCATAGGTTTGTATTTTTATGAGGAGAAAGTAACCTGTTGAATGCTGCAGGGTAGCTGGGGGCAAAGTAAACAAGTTTTCCATGTTGAAATACTGCTCAGTGGGCACTTTACCAGGAGGGACTGGAAGTCCTCTTAAGGCTCCATCTAAAGAGGCATCGTATACATATAAAAACATCCCTAGAGGGACAGGTGATGATTTTCCAGTGTCAGGATGGATGGTAGCTGCTTCTGCTCACCCAATTACTGGGATGTAAAATGGCAAAATGAGGTCTAAGACCAACTTGTTGACTGTTTCTCCAGAGTGTCTGCCTCTACTGTATTGCTGTAGATCTTCCAGAACTTTGCCCTTCCCAGTAATTATCCCGGGCTCTGGGCTCTTGCATCCTTTATCTATTTCTGGGAAGGGCTAATCAACCTTATCTTAGATTTTTCTCTCTCCTATGCAGGAGATGACTCTCCTGCCATCACAGGACCCTTTCCTATCACCAGTAACTCTCAGAGCAATAAACCTTGGTAAAACTGGCAAACATTGGCAGGGGGGTTACCCTATACAGCCTTTCTTCAAAGGCAGATACACATCTAAGTTCCGTCACGTTTTATGCTGTTAGTTGTGGGAAATCAGGAATTTTAGAGCAGCTGTTTTTGTTGTGGGTTTTTTATCCATTTTCCCTTTATGCTAAGGAGAAACCTGGTTCATGCAAACAAAACAAATCTGCTTGAAATCACTTGGAATGTTGCCTTGGCCTCGTGCTTGACCAGTCTCTGCTGAAATTAGAGTGGTGAATTGGCTTCTGCCTCTTCACTAACGGAAACGAGATGGCTAGGTTTCAAAGCACTATTTAAATGAATAATGCCATCTAAAAATATTAGGTCATGTTTTTAATCTAGTTTTTTGACTAGTTTTCTCTTTTTGTGTACACGAGAGGCTTTGATATTCTCACAGGCTTCACTCCAGGGAGTCTTTATACGTATAACTAGCAAAGGCAGTTCTTGTTGCATCAGAGATGTGTGATGTGCAATTACTGATGCTGAAAGAAAAACGTAGGCAGCAGGCACAGAGTTGTGGGCATTTCTTTAGCTTTCTTGTTAGAAAGCTAAAGGCTTGCTTAAGCCTAAGACAGTCTAACACTACTTGGCTACACGTTGTTCCCTGGTAATGCCTTTCCCCATCACTTTTCCGCAGTGTTGGCGTGACGTCTGCTTTCCAGAAAAAAATGAGCCCTCACCAACATACAGATCATCCAGCATGGCTTGACTGTCGTCCCCTTTTCATGTCTGCATGTATAATAAAGCAGTGGATTGTGAAGAAGATATATAATTGCACAGATTCTGAACAGCTAGAAATCTGTCATTTAAAGGAGAACGTGTCGGCCTTTTGGCCTCGCCGCTTTGCTTTTCTAAGAGAGAGAGGGAGAGAGAGGGTTACTTCATTCACCCTTTTCCTTGGTTTTTCCTCAAGCCATTAGGTCCTTGAAGAGTGAAGCAGATTGGCAAGAGATCCTGAAGAAGGTGAAAGAGGAAGAAGAGGAGTCATCAGTTCCTACTGATCTTTTTAAGGTAAAAACACAGTGTATAGAATTTAGTCCTACAGATAATATGATGGAAATGGTTTATTCCTAAGAAATGGTTGAGGAAAAACTTTTGGTTTTTTTTAAACTTTTTTACCTCTCTCCCTCTAGTTAAGAGCTGCGTGGTAAAGTTTTTTTTTTTTTTTTAAGTTCAACAACAAATCCTTCTGCAACTACCAGCAACTATGCAAGCCAGTGCTATTTTTCAAGGAAAAATTGCCTATTCTGATCCTTTATAGTGACATCTTCAGTTGTCAACCAGCTGGAGGAGTGCAAAGTCACTGCATTCTTCCTAGTTTTTATGTAAATCAGAAAGTTAAATGTGTGTATCACCTAATGCATAACTTGATATAGCAATATTTATTGTATATATTTGTGTATACTTGACGAGTATGTCCTGTTAGAATTAAGTGCAAGCAAATGTTGCTGTTGAGTTTGAATCTAACTTTACATAGATTGAAATAAAATTCCTGATGCTCAGTAGGTTTTTTGAGAGAAATGGGAATGTAAATTGAATCCCTGATGGTCCTTAATTTGTCTTTCTCGGTTAAACTTTGGCCCATGAACAGAACAGAAGAGGAGTTGCTATTGATTGTGACTGTGATTGCTAAAGCATCATATGCAGAGCAGGATGTTCTGAATTCCAGAGCAGAAACCCTTTTGGGCAGGTTTTTATGTTAGTTTGCAGATGAACACTTCTAATGCTTACAGATCTCTCTGTTTAGCTCGTGATGTGTATGGATTTTTGCGATAAAACTCCTTTTAATTGACTTATTAGACCACTCTGTGTTATAAAATCTTCCTTCTGGAGAACACCAGAGGAGGAAGTCTTTGAGATTTAATTTTATAAAACGTACAGAAAGCTGTTGGCCTCACAGGGCATAGTTGGCCTTTTATTTTCATTAGACAGCCTTTGCTTGTCATCTGACATGTTGATTCCTTAGAATGAACTAATAAAGGTTAAGGTCGTCCTCTACAGCTGAAGTATCAAAGCAGGTATTTTTTAATAGAGAGAGGTGAGTAATATCAACCTGATTCTTGGTCTTTCAGGAGAAACCTGTGATTGGAGTGCATTCCTTCTCTGAAGGCATGAAGCTAGAAGCTGTGGACCCACTGGCCCCTTTTGTCATCTCTCCTGCTACAGTTATCAGGGTACCAGGGTGTTTATTAACTTGTCTTGATAAGATTCAATTGTCACTTCTGTTCTTAAGTGCTTAGAAAATTCTCCTTGACTGATTGTCTGAAAATCTTGAAGCCGTGTTCAGATGAAAGAGCTGAACCTTAGGGGACAAGTGCCTGCAAAACAACTGCTGGCGGGGGAGACATTGGGTTAAAAAAGAGGGGAAAAGTTCTATTAAGTTCCAGACTAAAAGATTAAATGGCTAAAGTTATCAAAGCTAGGTTGTTAGAACGAAACACAAGCTCTCATAATCTGAGTATTCAATTGAGGATGGATTTTTGTTTTTCATTTTCACTGAAGTTAATGTCATCATTTAAGTATAAGCTTTGAAGTGTCTAGGTGGCCTGATTTTCAAACAAGGGCCCACACATGGATTTGGAAGTTGAAAGGAAAACTTCAAAACGTGAACCGGTTTTGAGCAATTTCTACCTTCCTATGTTAAAAAACTGGTGAAAAGTTCTGGAAGAGACCTACTTTTATGTAGTAAATCAACTCTTGCACCACATAAAGCTGGGGTATATTGTAAATTTTTTTTGTGTGTATTTTCCAGAAAATATTGCCTTTTCCTTTGGACAAGTATTTTTTTCAATATGATACATTTCAGTGATCTCTCTCTTTTAAATTCTAACCTACAGTTTCCCCCAATTGGATGCAAATATATTTCTAAAAAGGCATAACCAAGTGCAGCCCAATCATTTACTTTTCTAGGTGTTTGTTCTGCTTCTAGGTACTTCAGGAATACAGAGGTTTTGCTAGTCTAGTATCCCAGTGACGCAGCTAAATATTGTCAAAATAAGCAGTTTGCTTTTACAGAATAATAATAATAAACCCCCAAACTCCAGATTGTCTGTTTTTCCCATAGTGAGTTCTTTATATTTTATTTTAGTGAGAAAAACTTCAAAATCAAGATTCCATTCCCCTGCTTAACTGGCGCTCTCAGCTGAGCTTGTTAATTTGGAGTTGGTTAATGAGTTTCCTGGCATGCAGTGTTTTAACTAAGCCATTTTTGTGTATTTGGTGTCACACAACTTTCCGTGTTGCTGTTTAATAAAGTTACCAAGTGGGGGAGAGGGGGTGGTTCAATATCTGCTACTTTAAAGACCACCTGGTTCTCTTTTGGCTAACTACAGGTATACGATGACAAATATTTCATGATAGAAATTGATGACTTGAGACCCGAACGCACAGCCAGCCAGTCTTACATTTGTCATGTCAACAGTGCTGGTATTTTCCCTGTGCAGTGGAGCCTGAAGAATGGCTTGCATCTCAGTCCCCCACTAGGTATGTTTGTGCAAGCTTGTCGTGCTCGCCAGCCCCAGAGCACCAGGGCTGGGACACCCCTTTTGCAGCATTACGTGCAGCAGCACAGGCAAAGGACAGGAAAGATGAGATTTGGAGAAACAGCAGCTTTGGAGCTGAAGCTTCCTGGGTGCATCCTTGGACTGGAGTAGATGACGGTGGCTGGGGATGCTGGTCCTGAACAAAAACTGGGATGTTTTAATGAACAAGGGTCTGCACCAGCACCGAAGGCGATGGTGATTTCAGTGTGAATTGACAGGATATCAGAAGCCCGTAGTCACTGCATTAGTTTTTTTATTTGCTTCTGGTCAAAATGGAACATTCCTACCCAGTGTCTTATAATATGTTTAGGGTATCTTACCACTTAGGCGATAATTCAGTATTTTTTTCAAAAGACCTGTGAGGCAAGGTAGCAGATTGCTTGGGGACATAAGGGGAGGGATATTCAGGTACTCAATTATTTACTCCTTTTCTCAAAACTGAAATGTCAGTGGTATTGTGAAACCAGGGGCTGTGTTCTTATTCACCACTACTGGACTGGGAATGTTTTCTTTTAGCTACTCGTGACATCCAAGGAGCAGAGAGCACAGGACACCCGTCCCTTCCCTCTCCTTGGGCTAGGTTTAAAAAGTGCCTTTGCTTGACCTGGCGTTCCCTGGAGCTGCGTGTGGGAGATGAGATGTAGCTCCCTAGACCCATGACGAGAGCTGACAACGATTTTAAGCTTCTCTTCTGGTAGTACCTCTGGAAATGATGGGTAGCTGAATTGTGCAAATTCTCAAAACACCTGGTTATATTTGAACTAGGACTGAGAAAAATTAGTGGACCCTGTTCTGGGTAGTACCCTCCACCCTTAGGGGCAGTTGAACTTAATGCTTTAAGACAGTCATAGTTAGATTGTCATGAGAATACAGCTTGCTTAGACTACCTTAAAAATTTTGTTTCATTTTTAAACCCTAGTCACAGGGATGCCTTGTAGGTGTTAGCTGCTGTGATAACTGCTTCTGTTATCCCTTACATACCCTGCCAGCTGCAGACTATCCTGGCAGTGCACTTCTTCTCCACCCACTTCCCTTCATGTTTGCTATATCATGGAGAAGAGAAATATTTCCTCTAAGTAGAATTTAATTCATCCTTCTGCTGGAGAGAGAGATGCTGTTTCCTGATGCCCTGCGGTTTAGACTTCTCCATTCAAACATCTATAGAGATTTATAGCTATAAGCAAACTAAACTAACCTCTTAGGACCCCCCTCTCTCTTTAATGGCTTGGTATTTTATATGTTTAGTAGGGTAATATATAGTATTGACTGCCTTTTGGGTGCTTTTTTTTCTTTAAAAAAAAAAAAGGAGAGAAAAAAGAAGAAAGGTCCCAAACCTGACGCAAAGTAAATGAGGGGATTCAGAGTTGGCACTGCAGCAGAGGGGTAATTTTGCAGGAATTTTGCCGGAATTTCCTCTGTGCCCTGGGAAGGGATGCGGCGCTTCCCCGTGTTTCGCTCGCTGCTGCTGCCAGTGCAGCTCATCATGCACTTTGGCCAGACCTCAGCTCGTGCTCAGTGAACTAGCTTCATTTTTGTTTGAGGTCACTGCAGTCCAAAAACATGAATCAAGGTGAATGCAATAAAAATAAGCTCTCTTAAAAGAGGATATCTCAAAGATAACAGAACCTGCTATGGGCTGGCATCACATGGCTTACTGACACCATAGTCACCTGCCCAACTTGAGCTGGATTTCTGTGACTTTCCCTGGTGTCAGCTTGACCTGGTCATTTGTTTTCATGCTGTTAAATTAACCCTTTTGCTTGTGTTTTGCCTAGGTTACCCTGGGCAGGACTTTGACTGGGCAGACTACCTCAAACAGTGTGGTGCTGAGGCAGCCCCCCAGAGCTGCTTCCCGGCGGTAAGGCACAAAACAACTGATATTCCTGAAAAATCTGATGTTCCTGGCAGTGAGAGGAGTTGTGTGCGTGCGCTTGGCTTACACTAGCTGTGCTTGACGAAACAGAGGAGTCTGGAGAGTGAAAATGAGGGTGAAGGGAAGTAGGTTTAAGCCACATTCCCCCAAAATAGAGATTAGACCAAATGCTGCAGTTGTGATAATGTAAGTGAAAAAGCAACTGGTAGTTTGTGGAGGTAAGATGTGTAAGAATCCATCAAAACATAACAGCAATTCTTGGAGCTCATGTAATTGTGGAAACAGGGCCTGCTGGAACCCTGATTTCACCTACTTGGTGTTCTCTCTCAATCCTTCCATACTTACTTTTAGCTTGAAAGATTCCTTCTGTCTCATTAATCAGCAACAAGTTGTCCTGTACTAATACCAGGTAATCATTAGATTAATCAGTGCCTGAGGTATGTGCTAGCTTTTGGGCTTCTTCTAGTAGAGTGATAGTATTAGTGACAGTCATACTGTCTTCCAGTGTAGACAGTCCTGTCAAGCAGAGGTGGGGGGTACTGTCAACACCCGTCTTCCAACTGCACTTACAATACCTGGGCTATCTGGGAAAGAAATTAGAAAAAATAATTAGCTATTTTGAAGAGGGTGTTGCGGGCTATGAGTTCTTGATGCCCTTTTCCTGTCTTGTCAGATGTGACATCTCAGAACAGGTCGCTGAATTTATCAGCTCTTCTCGGGAAAGAGATAATCAGTGTAGGCAAGTTCTAGAAATCTATGTATTGATTTTGTAATTATGTTGCAGAGTGGATGTTGGAGGAAGAGTGCTTTGGCTGTCACTTGTCACCTCTAATCCAGGCACTTCAGATCTACATAAATCTCCATTCTTAGGTTATAGAAGTTTTTCGATAAATGTGAGCTAAATTAGGCCATGAATTAAAATTTTACAGGCCTGTCCACAGAGGCTTTTTTTTTTAACCTAAAATTTGTGAGTTCTAACATAACTTATTTGTATTAGATTGCTAATTGCCTGAAATATTCTGTGACTGCTTGATTATCCCTCTCTAGTCAAATTACCCCGTGATAGTCAAATACTAAAGCTTTTGTGTGTTACTTCTGTTTATGGCTTTTTGTATCTTAAATGGGAAGTACAGATGGTAATTTATTGAAGTATTCTGGCTTCTTTCTAGTTAACTTCTGACCATGGATTTAAAGAGAATATGAAACTCGAGGCCGTGAATCCAGTTGATCCTGAGGAAGTCTGCATTGCCACGGTCACCAAGGTGAAAGGTTCCTACCTCTGGCTTCAGCTGGAAGGTAAGTCTGATAGAGGAGAAAATATTAACACTTATGTTGTACTTTTGTCCAGCCCATGCATTATCTGGAACAAATGTGCTATCTGCTAAATAAGGACAGCAAATCACCATTTCCTGCAATAAAAGCACAGCCCATTTTGGCCAAACCTGAGAAGAGACCTTTTAGAAAGGTTCTTCAGCAAAACAGACTAGGCCAGGTGTTCTCCATTATAATCCAATTCCTTTTGAATTGAAAGTGCATCAGCATGCACTTAGCATGCACTGTGTACGTCTGCTTAACTGTGGATGGTGCATTCCCATCTCCAGCCTTTGGGAGGAAATAAATGAGGTCAGGAAGAAGTCTGGTCAGTAAAGAGCATGAGTAAACAATTGATGATGTATTCTACAGGAACCCTAAATAAAAGCAGATTTACTGGCAAACAGATAGCGAGCATTAACCCAATGAGATTTTTTGTTTGTTTGTTTCAATTTTTGTTTCTCTTAACAAAACAGGCTCCAAAAAGCCCATCCCTGACTGTATAGTGAGTGTGGAATCAATGAATATATTTCCAGTGGGTTGGTGTGAGACGAATGGATATCAGCTCAGACCTCCTCGCAAAGCAATAGGTATCAGTTCTGTTCTATTCGTAATGCGTAGCAGGATTGGTAAGAGGTAGTGAGACCTTCAAGAGCAGCTGCTGCAGAATTTAGCTCTGTCATCACGAAATTTAGAAACTTTCAGCCTGCACCGAGAATCGATGCCTTGTGCAACTCTTGGAAAGAGTTTGGATCCATAGAGCAGCTCTAAAACAGTCAGTGTTGGTATGAGATCCTTGCACACTGTAAGAAGTGTGGGAGAACAATGTATTAGCCACAATAAAGAAATCTGTTTGACATTGAATAAATCATATATTGCTGAATTCATGTATGCATATATACATGCACACACATACACACACATTTAATTTTGAGTGTGTGAGCTGTTCATGCCATGTGTCCGGTGGACTGTTGGTTTTATGCTCTTATACTTGACAGAAGTAAAAATCTAGAGCAACAGAACAGGGTTGAGTCTGAATACATTTTGGATTTGAAATATGGAGCTGACTTTGTAAATGGGCCAGATGGTCATGATCACTTTCTGAGAAAATCTTGAGAAGTAAATCCAACCTATTTTAATTGCACTACCAAGTAGTGTAAAAATAGTGCCTTCCCTCAGCTGGTTAGAGAGCACTACTTAATGAGCACTACTCCCCTTAATTTTAGGGGAGGAGGAAAAACTGAAGAACTTCCCAAATGCCCATTAGATGGGATAAGATTGGAATGAGCTGTTATTTACTGCAAGTCAAAGCAAGAAGAAACTCATCTGGGAAATGGCTGTAATGCCAAGAACAGAGGACAAGTATTTTGTAAGGGAAATTTCACTTCCTTGCCTCCTGTACTTAGCAATATGTATTTTCTTGTCCTTCTTTTTAGTAAACAAGCAGAAAAAAATTGCAGTAGTTCAGCCAGAGAAACAGTAAGTATCAAGTTTTTTTTTTTTTTTTTTTCTCTAATCAGTCAGTCGTGCTAACTTTGTTGAAGTGTGATGCTGAGGCTCAGGTGATTCCGTAGTCCATTTGCTGTAGTGCTCGTGGTTCCTACAGGTGTGGAGAAACCTCCTGCACTGCTGCAATACAATGTAGTAAGGGTGGAGTTAGGATTTCTAACGACGTTAGTGGAGCTCAAGTGAATTATGAAACAGCTCAAGTCATTGAGGATATGACACTGTAGCTGTTCTTTTATTTTTAAAATACTGTGTTAGCTGTGCATGTTTAGTGCACTTAACAAAACTACTACTACCAGCCTAATCTGAAGTATGTGTTTATCAATATGTGCTTGAGCTGTTTTTTAAAAGTGATTATCGTAATAGGGAAAGCTGCTTGAAATTTTTTGGTTATATTCCTTTCTCAAATAATACAGACTCTGTGATAGATAATGCTTAGAAATATAGCTGCCCTAATGTGTGGCTGTGATTTTTGCACGGCTTAATCAGAAATTTAAGCTTTAGTGAGAGTAGTCTCATTCATTCAAGGAACATCTAATATCTTCCTCCAGAATAGTTACGAAAACAGGCTAGCCAAAAGAAGGAAAGAATAGTTCTAGGAGTGTCTACAATTAACCTACAAACTTTGTGTTGCAATTGTGAGACTGTCCTTCATGTGAGCCTGCCCAGGAAATGCTCTGTAGACTGCCTGACAGTTGGTTTTATTGACTCTTGCAGCATTATAAATACCAGATCTATCACTAGTCCTGCCAATGTTTTCATTGCTCCTAAAATACTGAGCAGACTGTGCTGCCATGTTTTTGTAATTGGGGCTTTTAGCAGAGTACTTGAGTCATTTTGGTTGTGTTTGCTTTTGAATCCATGTTTTTGTTTTGTTTTGTTTTTCAAAATATGTAAGGTAAGACTGTTGTGTTGCCTTGTGCCCTGCAATGTGAAATGAAATTAGGGGAGGCAGAAGATAAAAACTCTGATATTCCCTCTGTGTGACTTCATTATCTGCCTGGCAGCCCCTGCTACTTCAAGCAAGTAAAGATCACTGCTGGCTGGGGCAGTTCAGTAGTTCTTTGCAAACCAAAACCGATAGTCTTTGTATGAAAAAGGACCCTCAGAATAGAGCTGAAAAATATTACAAAACAAGATCTGTAAAAAAAAAAAAAAAAAAAAAACACCAAAAAGAAAAAGGCAGACTAATTTAACTGGACCTGGACTTAAGAAAATTGGCTTTAGCAGCTGCATTTTAACAACTGCAGGGTGAATATCTTTAACCATCTTTTCCTTTTCCCAACCTTCTTCTTTTCATTTCAGAATTTTGTCTTCAAGGACAGTTCATGATGGACTAAAGAACCAGGAGCTGAACTCCTCTGACTCAGGTATTGGCCTGGGAGGGTGGGGGTAACACAAACACAGTCCTCTAAGCGCCGTTCAGCTGCTCAGCTGGGCTTTGTAGGAGCAAAAGGGGAGGAAAAGTTTGAGGATTTTCATCCTTGATGATTTGTCAGATGGCAAAGAACTATAAAATGAGCAAAAGAGTACAATTACTTTTGTGTGTCCAGTAATGAAACACGCATTGACTCTGGTGAGTAGATTTTTATGGCAAACCTTCTCCACCTGACTAGCAGGGGTTGTGTGGAGCCAAATATCTCCTGTGATCCATGCCAGGGATCTTCATTATCACCTGCTGTGTTTAATAATGTTGAGAGAAACGTGGTAGGCTCCTTGCCCCTCTGCTCTGAGCTGTTAGCTTGGAGACGCAGGTTAGTCTGTTTTTATAACTTTCTCATCATGATAAACAAAAGCAACTCAAACAGTAAACTGTTTTGTGTGCCAGATGGCAAAATCTAATAATTTTTTAAACTGTTGCAAGAATGGGTATGACGAATAAGTACATCTGCTGGAGAGAGAGCCGTGCAGATCTATTTGTTTGGCAACTAAATGCCTCTTCTGCTGTTCCTGCTCAGTGAAATGCACATCTGAAGCTGCACCAAGTGTAAGCTGTATACAAATGATTAGTGCTTGCTTTGCATTTTAATTGGTTTTTAATAGAGTCATAATGTAAACATGACTTTGTTTATTTATCTGCCCATTATCAACCACTGAAATTTAGGTCTTTAAATGACAGTGATTCTCAGTCAAAGCTACATCTCTGTTAGAGTAAAACAGTTTTGTTTTTATACATAAGCAACTCGCAATACATTTTATATAGAACTTAAATTTGGAGCAGCACTGAACCATTTAATAGATTTAACGAACTTGATGTGAACTACAAAGGTCATTCCATCAGTTGTTGCATTTTTTGTTTGCTAGCGAGGGAAACGACTGTAAAAATGCAAATGGTTGTGATATTGCAGTTCAGGATGAACAGCAGAGGAGAGCTCTGCCCGCTCCAGTGACAACAGACGTTTGGGGGAGATATGATTACCTGGCTGGAAATTTTGTATGGAATTAGTGTGTAGGAAGTGCCTCTGCTACCAAATAGTTGGGGGTGTTGTCATCTTGCCTGTTCTCCATGCTGTAATGCCAAAAAAACAGGAAAAAAACATGTTTCTTTCCTGATTGATGACCAACTTTTTTTTTTTTTTTGATAGTTGAAATGTAGCCCCATCCACTAATCAGACCCTCCTGTTAATGTAGGTTTAGTTGTGTAGGTAGTAGTTTAGTGTAGGTAGTAGTTTAATTTGTGCTATATATTAATCCAAATTAACTGGCATTACCAAGGTCTGAAACTAAGTTCACCCGTCTGGGTCTTGCCCTGCAGCCTGGCCAGATTTAGGTTTCTGCTCTGTTCTGCTGTCAGTGGTGCTTCTATATCAATTCATTCAGCCCGTTTACCTACAAAATCATTTTCTTCTGTGTAATCTAATTTAATCTGTCTAAAATTACCTCCTGAAAGAGAGCACAGAAATGTCCTACTATATCATGACTGGTCTGTCTAGTCCTGGAGCCTGTCTTTGGTAATGGCAAGAAGAGGAGCTGTTCAGAGAGAGCACATGAAGCTGGTCCACTTTTGTGGTCTGTTCCCTTCATATTCCTCATTTTTTCTTAATTGTTTCCACAGGGATGTTGGGGGATTGATGCTTCCTTGGTTCCTTTACTCTTAATTTACGGACTTTATCCAGAACTGGCAGAATCTCCAGAATTCAAATGTTGCTCTTGTTCTTCTATAGAAAAAGGTGGTATTCATCCTCACAGAAGGGCCCAGTAGCATTTCTAGCCTTGGAGTTTGTTTGCAAGTCCCTAAAGGATTAGGGCATTAGGGGTGACCACAGGAGTCATCTGTCAGGGTGCAAAAATGAGGGGCAGCCAAAAGGGCATGAGGAGTCATGGCCAAGTCATGGGGACAGGTTTATTTTGTGGCTCCAGTTGTCACGTAGAAGACGTTGCCATTCCAGTGGTGATATGCAAGCATGCAAGTATGAAAAGCATTTTTTGTCATAACATTTAATCAGTGATGGTGTCATTGCTACCATGACTGCCGAGCACTCTGAAAATCCCACGATTTCGGTTCTTTTTCCCTTTCTTTTCGCAGCCGGCACAATATTGAACTTTGCAAGCCCCTCTCCGCCCCGAAGGTTGCAGTGCGTGACTGACATCTTTGCTCTCTCGTTTCTCAGTGGTCATTAATGGAAAATACTGCTGCCCAAAGATCTACTTCAACCACCGGTGCTTCTCAGGGCCCTACCTTAACAAAGGCCGGATTGCTGAGCTGCCCCAGTCCGTGGGGCCCGGGAACTGCGTCCTCGTCTTGAAGGAGGTGAGATCCTCATACCTGGGAGACTGCCTGCAGCAGCATGTGATTGACCCTACCCACCTGCAATTAGATAGGCGGCTGATTAATAAATTTGAGAGATTCAGGAGTTGATGATGAGCAAAGTTAAAATGAAGTTTTGGTTAAAATGAAGTGCGAATCATGCACTGTTTTACGAGTGGCTGGTAGCGACCGACAAGTCTCTTTTTTATCAGGCATTGACAGCCTCCAACTGCTAAACTTTATTTTAGGTTTAAAATAGAGTAGTCCAAAGTTACTGTGGCTGAAGGAGTTGGTTTATTTTTATGGCTGTAGCACGGGTGTCATTTTTAATTAATAGAATGCAGTATCCCAAAAAAAGAGGATTTAACTGAGCAGAGAAACTGAATGTTTCCGATTTCTGCAATCCTTACCTTCCCTGCCATGTATCATAAAGGCTGGAAAAGAATTCCAGTACTTCTTAGTGGAGAGACAGAGGGACTTTCTAGCAGGCATACAGTGAAACCAGAGCCGAGCTCAAGGAACGCACAGGCTCACAGAATGGCTGGGGCTGGGAGGGGCCTCTAGAGATCATCTAGTCCAACCCCTGCTCCAGCAGGGACACCCAGAGCACGTGGCACAGGGTGGCATCCAGGCGGGTTTGGAAGACTCTCTTTAGGCCGTTTATTAAAAAGCTCCATATTTGCATATGGAAAACTAGCTTGCTTCTCTGCATCCCCCAGCAATAACTCCAAGTCCTTAGTCATTCATTTAGTCATGGGATGAGCTTCCAGGGCTTTGGCATCAGCAGAGGTGCCTGTTCAAGCTTTGTCATTAAATAGAGCTTGATCCTAAGCAATTAGATGGTGAGCACAGGCAGGCCAGGGCTCTGGGCTGTATCCTTAGGCTGGAGGGGAAATCTGGCTTTAAGAGGTATCCCTTATTGGAGCAACTCTGCTACTTGCTCAGTGTAGAGAACATGTTGCTGTTAAATAACTGGAATTTCAAGCAGGTGAATTAAAACCAGACATAAGTTTGCAACTATACGGTATAAAGGTTGTATGCTTGAGACGGATGGCATTAGGACATGGAAGATGGCATATTAGCATAAGGAATAGGCAAGAGTTATTTACTGCTTTTGGAAATCTCTGTCACTAGTGGCTGCTAAGATAAAATCCTGATTTCATGAAACAGTGGTTTGATCTGCCATGGAGAATCTGTATTCAGAGTGGAAGCTGCAGCTACCATAACCGATGCCTGAGGACCTTTATTGCAATTTAAATGTCACTTGTGACTTTTCAAGCAACACGTTGAAGAAATAGGGGAGAAAGGGGGAAAAACAGGTTCTGCAGCAAGCAGCAGCATCTGTCCTTGCTTGTGGCCTGGCTCTTGCAGTCCTGTTTTGGAGAGGTTCCTGCTTGGTCGCATGCACCCTCGTTTGCAAACGCTCCATATCCTTTCCCATGCAGGATGCTCCATATGCTGCTATGGTTGTTATGTCACAGGGCAAGAACTGAGGCAATGCCCGGTGTTTTTTCCTCTATCATTTCTGCAATTTTCAGGGTTCTGATATAGGCTGGGGTTGAGTTTTGCAGTACTCCAAAACAGGGCTGTGAAATTCTGTGGCAGCTTCATTTAATCTTCAAGGCTTTGCCTTCTTCACCAGCCCAAGCCTGAAGGATGCGCAAATCCTGCTGATGTGCAGATGCTGAGTGTTGCAGAAAGCTCCCCCCGCACGCGTAGCTGCCTCCGTTTCAGTAACGGCTCTAAGCACAGGTACAAACCCTGGAGTGACTCTGCTGCTCGCGCCGCAGCGCTGCGACTGCTGGGCCAGAAGGGTTGAACTCTGCGTCTGGTGCGTTGAGGCTGCGCACACACTGCGAAGGATTTGGGATAAGCTGACATTAAAAATAAAAAACACATATTCTGAATGCAAATTTTCGTCCTACTCCCACTCGATTCACAACTTTGAGTTCTTTTACAGTAACTGAAGAATTCTGGTTGTAATATGCTATAGGCATTACCGTGGTTTGTGAAAGTAAGAGCATAAGCTTCTGAGGTGTGATTTTTATAGCAAGTGATGCGTTTGTAGACAGCAAAATCCTGCAGCAGTTGCTTGCATGTTAAACAGTCTCTCAGATAATAACTGGGATTTATACAAGGTTATGCACGTTTTGCAGTTCCCTGGCCAGCCGTTTAATTTAGCAACATCTAAGACAAGGGCAGCGGCGAGGAATTGCTGGGTCCACTCGTGTCTGTGCAGTCAAATTCAGAAGGTTTGGCAAAGCCCTGAGTGTTGCCTGCTCTCACTTTTCATTTTGGCAGTATTGGGCAGTATTTGTAATCCTGCTATGAATGAGTGTTTTGATGCTGGCTATTTCAGATGAATAGGAGTAATTTCCTATTCCACCCTAGCGCTTTAAAAAAGATTTATTGTGCAAATAACCTAAGTGCATTTTCTCCTCTTCCCCTCTCCCACTCCTAGGTTCTCACTCTGTTGATCAACGCAGCCTACAAACCCAGCCGTGTCCTTCGAGAGCTGCAGTTGGATGAAGAAGCTGCCTGGCACGGGCATGGAGAGACCCTAAAAGCCAAGTAAATTCTTGCCCTGATTTTCACTCAGTTGATCCTCATAGTAACGTTGTGCTTTAACTTGTTACATTTTGAATAGGAGAAAAAAATGCTTACAGCATATAAAAACGCTGCCAGACTGAACTTCCGAATCCTTATCAAGTCCTTTGTGAAAATCTAATGAAATATATCTGGTTTTAATACTCCTTAATATGTCGAATGTGCCCTGATACTGGTATTGGTGCAATGTGAATGGCTTCATACTAGGGCAACAGCCTATGCACGGCCAGACCAGCAGATGAGGCTTAAGAAATTTAATTCTGTTGAAGATAACTGTCAGTATTTTAAAGCAGAAGCACTTACTGATTAGGAAGCTTCCCAGGCTGCAGGTTTCACAGTGGAGGAAGATTCCTCTGGAATTAAATTGAGGCAAGGCTCTGAGATAACCTGGCATGGGGGTCTCCCTCTGCAGCAGTCTAATGTGATGTCCGTTTTTTCTACTAAGGCTTTGGAGCAGGAGCTTCTAACAAGACCATTCTGTGACTGGGGAAAAAAATTGCAAAGATTTGATAAATCTGGATGTTCCTCTGTGAAGTAGTATGTTTGCTTCCTAGAGGTCCTTTTTTCCACTGTGTGCTATAGCACAGACTTCACTATGTTGCCTTGAGCAAGCCAGTAGTTCTTTTGTTGGATCAGCTTCATGTGCAAAATGACACCTTTCCGTGCACCAAGGCATTGCTCTCTATTTAGAGATGGGTCATAGGAAGGTCTTAAGAAAACGTAATGTAAATAAAAGTCAGCCGAAAAAGAGTCAGCCGAAAGGGAAAATTCTTACTCAGTTTGCAGTGAAGTACTTTCATTCTGCTAACTGGAGGATTGCTGGACTATGACTTTGTTTCCAACGTTAGGTACAAAGGGAAGAGTTACCGTGCGACTGTGGAAGTTGTGAGGACAGCAGACCGGGTGGCAGATTTCTGCAGGAAAACATGCATCAAACTGGAGTGCTGTCCAAACCTCTTTGGTCCTCAGATGGTGCTAGATAAGTGCTCCGAGAACTGCTCGGTGCTCACAAAGACTAAATACAGTGAGTAGACAGCTGAGCTGGGATTGGGATGGGGCCTGGGCACATTTTGGTTTGGGTTTGTTTTGACCTTGGCTCCAAGAAGGAATCCAAGGTGCATTTTGCATCACGTTGCTCTGCTTACACAAGGAGCAGCTGAAGTGCTACTCAAGTAGGGCTGCAGAATATCAATGATGTACCTGCACACGTGGGTGAAACATTAAATTTTCTATTAAATGCTAGAACAACTGAATATCTTGTGGTCATAAGCCCTAAAGCTTTATCTCCTTAATACAGCTTCTGGGACAAGAACTGAATCTAATGCCATTTAAGTGACATTGTATTTTTTTCTCCCATTTTGTTATGGAATGAAATAAAATAACTTGGCAAGGGAGCTAGTTTTGTTTTTTTTGCATCTAACTGGAACCGTTTGACATTGTGCAAGGAGACTTTGCATGGAGACCGTGCTTAAAACTGCAAAGCACCATAAAATACAATTAGGCCAATCTGTAGCTGATGATTTTGGCATAAAACTTTATCATTTGGGGCTCCTCAGAGATGGAGGAATTAAATTCCCCTTCATAGGGCAAATAAAATTGAATAGTCTTCCTCATTAAACCATTAAATGGAAGAGAATGCTGACATGCTCATCCCGAAATTTGGGTTTTCTAATGGGGGGATGTCCCGCGACTGATTTCCTGGTCCTGTTTGTGAACATAAAAAGTGACCCTGAAGGTGTGCTTCAGTATGATGTTTCAATACTTCTCTCCTGATAGCACATTATTATGGAAAGCGGAAAAACAAGCGGATAGGCAGGCCCCCGGGTGGCCACAGTAACCTGGAAGTAGCCATGAAGAAGCCAAATAAAAGACGGAAGAGACGAAAACACTTTTTTGTTCATAAGAAAAAACGCCCTTCTACTTCAGTGGATAACACTCCAGCTGGATCTCCCCAGGTATGAGGCTGTCAGCTTTAAATGGATATGGGATGTGATCTTGGATCAGCTGGAACTAAAACCGTGGATTCAATTCCGTAAAACCTCAGCTTACGGCTGACTAGTGGGAGGCAATTGTAGTTTTTATCCTAAACTTGCAATTTCTTGCCTTTTTTTTTTTTTTTTTCCCCTACCACTTCAGGGCAGTGGGGGAGAAGAGGAGGATGACCAGGACGAGGTAGATGAAGAATCGCTGACGGAGGATAGCACCTCGGAGCAACAGGACGAATTGCTCGAGGAGTCGGAAGTGTCAGAGAAGAAGTCGCTCTCATCCTCTCCTACGCAGAGTGAACTGTCTCATTCCCTGGCGCAGGACCGGGACAAGAGGAAGAGGAAGCTCAGGACCTTCTCCTTTTCTGATGATGAAAATAAACCTCCTTCACCAAAGGTAATTCCAAGATAAACTTGTGTCCGGCCTTGCTTAGTGCTAGGCCAACACAAATGCCCTGGGAGTATTAACCATCCTACGTGTGTTTTTGGAACATACTCCATTATCCCATAAAGGGTGTTGTGAAGACATTACTAAATAATTAAAAATCATGATATAGTCAAATTACAGGACTGTAACAAGCACTTCTCTAGGTTCAGCTGTACAGTGGCATCTAAAACTAAATCCTGGTTTTAGATCCCTATTTTCTATCTATAATGATGTAGCCTCCATCCCCAGCACAGAGCCATGCTGAATATCTGTGTGAGTCAAGAAACTTGTATAATTTTGAGCTCTCCTTAGAGCTTTCTTTGGCAACTGAATGTTTTAAGTATGGGGGAGCAGAGGGCAGCATTGGGCTGTGGCACGTGTAACGTTTTGGGATTTCTTTCTGTGGTGGGTGACTTATCTAGGAAATAAAGATTGAAGTTGCTGAAAAGCTGCAGTTGGACAGTAACCCCCTGGAATGGAGTGTGTCCGATGTTGTACGATTCCTCAAGTCCACTGACTGTGCCCCACTGGCAAGAATCTTCCTCGATCAGGTATGATTTATGTGTCTGCTAAGCTGTTCAGACTGTTACTTTGCTGCTTATCCTCTCTTGAGTGAATCACAAATGAAGCTAATTTTAATTATATAACCGGGTTTTGAAAAAACAAACGTGCAGGTGAGGGATAGGACAGAGTCTTTGAGGTTTCCTTGATCTCGAGGAAGAAGGTTTTGGTGTGTGGGGAGTATCAAAATCCCACAACTGAATCGGGAATGCCCACAACCAGCTTGTTTTCTGGCAGGAGATAGAATTTTGCCACTTGTCCTGACTCCTGAAAATGATAAACGTTTTCTATTCTGCAGGCTAATCACAGCCATCTCCTGGCGTTGTGCAGCTGCACAAGTGAACAATTTTGCATTCAAGAAAGTGTGATAAATAGAATACTAACACGAGTAGATGTTAACGTTGTGCTTGCATCTTGGTCAAAGTCTGCAGTTACAAAACACTGCCTAACAAGACTGTCTTATGGAGATGGCGATGAGCGTGGTTTGTGATAGATGGTACAGAAAAAGTAGTTTGCCTTATAGGACCTCTGTTTCTTTAGAATGACAAGAGGTTAGAAGATGGCTGTCAGCATAAAGTTTCCTTGCTTTTTATTTTTTGTTGATTAAAAGTAGCTTCTCATGAGGTGCTTTAGCCCGTGAAGTTGAGCTCAGATTTTAGGTAAGGAGACAATTTTTAAATTTTTAAGCGACCTGGAGTAGCACGAAAGAAAGGGCTAAGTCCCAAATGGTCACATATCTGAAATGACGGCAAGTCCAAACCACGGGCGCGGGAGAAATAAAGCTGCCAGTCACTGTATCTGTTAATGTTTTTGTCTTTTGGCAGGAAATTGATGGCCAGGCGCTGCTGCTGCTCACGTTGCCCACTGTTCAGGAGTGTATGGACTTGAAACTGGGGCCGGCTATTAAACTCTGCCATCATATCGAGCGGGTGAAACTTGCCTTTTACCAGCAGTTTGCTAACTGAGAAGCAGGCGGCCCTTTGAAGCACAACTACAGCAACCTGCTCCTTTCTCTCTGGCAGGGAAAGTCAAGGGAAGCTGAACTGCGGCTCTGGCAGCCTGCGAGCATCCGTCAGCCTCAGTTTCCCACCTCGAGGAAAGGAAGGCATCATCTGGAGGAAAATGCCAATACAAACACGGGGGCTGCTCTGCCGGCTTGGGAACACGATAGTCTCTTGCTCTATGGTTCCCTTTTTTAAAAATGTATTTTTTAATTATTACAGAGGCATCTCCTCTGTTGGGAAAAGACATTTCAGTAGTTCTGTTGGCACAGAACTTTAAAGGGAGTGGTAGATCCCGTTTACGTTAGCAGGCTGCCAGAAACACCCTTGCTCTGTTCCCGACGGCTCACAGATCCCCTCGCCCTCCCTACGGATGAGCACTGGCTTTGGAGGGTGCTCCCTGCACATTTGGGTGTTAATATTGAGGTTTTTTAACAAATTTGTTCATTGTTTGGACAACAGTGTGGCCACAGGGTTCTGAATGTACAGTACAGCAAGAGCGTGGGTTCTTTTATTTTATTTTTTAATTATTTTTTTTACTACCTCTGTAGCCTGAATAGTGAACGTGATGGTCTAAAAAGGGAGGCAACTACTTCTTGTGGACAAATGGTAGGTGGCTGCAGAGCAGCGGCTCTCCTGGAGCGGTGTCGGAAGTACGAGCCCGCATCGGCCTGCGGAGCTGCTGGTCCAAAGCGTTAGGCGAAACCTGTGTCCCCGTAGCTTGGAGGCTACCTTGTTCTCCTGGGTCAGAAAACTTTATTTTGCACTTCTCTTACAGATGGGCTGTAGGAAAAAAAAAGAAAAAAAAAAACGAAGGGAAGAGAAAGTGCCTCTGCATTTTCTATATTTTGCTGGTCAGAGAAAATTTCTTTACTTTTTTTTTCTTTTTCCTTATAAATTGTGTGAAATTGTTCCCTTTTCCTCCCAGCAGTTGACTGGGCTGTGTACATGAGCCTGTCAGCAGCTCTTTGCTTTGCTGCCTCAACATCTGACTGGAGAATACACTAAGCAAACCGCGATGGAGAGAGGACTGCTCTGCCATTTTTTCATGCTGGAGACTGTACTATGAGCATGATATTTTTAAACTGTTTAGTGCTGCTCAGGATCAGAATGAAAAGTGGCATTTTTTGTTTGTTGGCTTGCTTTTGTGTGCCTTTCCTGGGGGAGGGGAAGGGAAGGAAAAGGACCAGAGGAAAATCTAGCTCCATCAGTAGAACCACAGTGGTGATGAGTTGCTAATTTCAATTTTCTGGGGTACTAAAACCCAATCGGCCACTAGCTTTGGACCTGTGCTTTACACCCCTGGAAGTAACAGGGTTTAGCTACTTCTCAATGAAGTTGGGAGACACTTGCAGGGGGTGCTGTCAATGAAGCTGTTCAGAGTGAGCAAAGCCATTTTGGACCTGCTCATGCTGCAAGGCTCTTGGAATAACTGCCTGGTCGAGGCAGAGTACTGAACTACAAAGATTTGTTTCCATTGCAGAATGAAACTGTAAATGCTGAGCAAACTGCTTGCTAACTTAGTGTTCTTGGATGAGGGAGGGTTAAGGAGTGACTAGACCAATTTCCCTCCCAAGTTTTAAGCAGAGTTTGAAAACACAGTTAAACTGAAATCCAAGTACCTCTTCCTTCCCTTTACCCACCCCTCCTGCAGATAGGTACCCAATAAAGGGATATTTTACCTATTTATGTTGGACGTAGGTCAGCCTCTTGTACTCTGTTCTCCTAATGCCAACCGATAAGACATTAGACCTGAAAAAAAGATTTGAAAAAAAAACATTGTTGCTTTGCCTGCCAGCCTTTTGTCTTGAGAAATTTGGTGAGCAGAGAAGAACCTTGGAGCTGGAAGAGGATGCTTTGGGATCACACTTTCTTCAAGGTTTTCCAGAATTCTCTTGCATTGTAAAAGAAGCTGACGCCAAGCTGGACTGAGCTGTACAGCCCAAAGGTGTCATTTCCACCTTTCCCCATGGACATAGATGCCTCCAAAGCAGGCGTCGGGAGAGCTTAAAGGGTGATGCAGCGAACAGGTTAAGATGATGCCTAGAGTTTTAAAAATAAATGCCCTACTCCTTGTAAACAAAGCAGTCGGCACTTTCAGAGGTTAGTTGGGTGCTTCTGGTCACCTTTGGCATGTTTTATAGGCTGGCTTTCTTCTGCCTTGTTTTGGGAGGCACTGACAGTCTGGTCCCAATGGGATCTATTTTAGTTGAGATTTTCAAAAGGGATGTTTTCATTATTTGTGAGATGTTTTTATGCTGCACATTGATACTGTATACTCTGTCTCTTTGAAAAAAAATGCACTCTGTTTTATTGCTGGATTTAAAAGGGGTATTGAGGCTTTACGTTGACGGATGGTCTTTCTACTTGACTCTGTTTCAAGTTCCTCGTTTCTGTGTGTGGCAGATGACACAACTGGGTTTATGTCTGTTCGTCATGACTTGAAATGGGCTCACGTGCTGCTTCTGTTGCTCTTTCCTCAGAACCGAATTTTGGGTAGCTTGGTGGCTGAAACTTGGCTTTAGATGGTAACTCATTCGCCAGCAGGAGCTCCTGTGAGCCCCATGTTTAAACTGGGCTTTGGGGATTTGTGCTGTCCTCTGCCATAGCCACGTAAAACAGGAAGAAGGCAGTGGTGTCTTCCAAATGCCTTTGGTATCAGAAGAAGAGCTCTTCATTTCGTCTGGTGTACTATTTATATGGAGGGTAGAAGGAAATACTACTTGGCTGAGCTGTTGAGGGCTTAAGTTCTTGTTCATATTTATATGCACTGCACGGTCTTGGTTTTGCACATCACAGCTTTAGGAGCCTTCCAAGTGGCACTTGCTCGTACCGTGCTAAGCTTAGACGTGCTGGGCAAGTTACTGTGCTGTGCATCGACCCAAGGAGTCCTGAAGAGTAATATCAGACCTCTGGGAATGAGATGCAAGGTTAACGTGTTTGAATTATCCCTAACATGGACGCAGCTTGCAGTCTATTCAGTGGGTAAGGATGATCCTTCCAGAAAATGGAATGTGGGGAGTGAAGACTAGTTTATTTCTAACAGTGAAATTTCTGAAAGTCGCTCTTTGTGGAAGAAAATGGAAGGCAAATTCATTTATTGGGTTTTATAGCACACCTGTGGCCTTTGCTGTCTCTCATGGGGCTAACAGAAACAGCATATACAGAGAGTGACTGTTAAAATTACAGCCACTTTCAGGGTGGCTATCGAAATTCCTTTCTCATGTCACAACTTCCAGCAATACTTCGCTGTTGCTTTACACTTGTTCAGCCTTGATTCCACTGACGCTTTAAAGGAAGGAGGGAGCCGCTAGCTGCTAGGTCCAGCAAAATGTAAACACATTTACAGCTACTTGCACTGAGCTCTCTGTTCTGAGCAAAGTACAAAGATTTGGTACGTTATTGGGAAAGGGGCTCATGAGATTTTTCTGAATGTAGTAGAAAAGGCTTCAAAAGTGCTAAAATCAAATTGAGATTGAGCCACTTATTTTGCTGTGGACAATACAAGCAAACCTGTTACTATAGGAGAGGGTTCTAGATGAGGTAGCCTTCCCAGAAAGCCAAAAATACGATGATCTGACACGGAGCTGCTGCTTCCCTACCAGGCTTCCTGACATTTGGTTGCTTCCCAACCAAATATATGAAACCTAAGCAGCAAAACCAAGTAAAGGTTGCTGATATTTGTCTCCATAGCTATGCCCAGCTACTTCCAGGTCACATTCCGCTTGCGTGGTGGGGCGCGAATGACCAAGGCTGGGAGAAGATTAATCCTTGGCCATTGCAAAAGCTGTGGAGCACCAGCTCCCAAGAAACCTTGTAGGAAAAAAATAAGGAATCTCTCCTCATCTTGCTCTGCTTTCATTTTGGCTTTGTTTCTGTTCAATTTTTTAAAAAATATATATAGACAATCAGAGGTCTTCTTGGAGAGTGCAAGCTCTCCCTGCAAGGGCCTCTCTTATGCGAACTCATCGGAACTGATGCACTTTTCCTGTATTTCCTGTATTTTGCCTTTTTTTTAAAAAAATTAGCTGCTCATCCCTAAACAAAGATTTTGATGCCTGTTGTGTTGTGTCCCTTCTGCCTGTTGCTTTATTTTGTTATTTCTTTTAAATATATATATATATATATTATATGCAGTGAGACTAAAGTACTTAAGGGAAGAAAAATGCGCACAGGGCCCTATGTCTCCCCTCCACCCCCCACATTTGCCAAGGCGGGAACTGTTTCCCCAGAGGGATTTTTAAAAAAAAAAAAAAAAAAAAAACGAAAAAACGCCAAAAAATTTTTTTTTGGATGGATATTTTGCCTGTCTCGTCTGTACATAGTGTATCATAGAAGTTTGTGGCACATGACGGTTTTAAAGTGGTTGTAAGAAAATTAAAAAGGGAGAAAAAAAAAATGGTGATGGTCGTTTTTGTGCTGCTGCGTGAGGCGA